CAACGCGCGCCAGTTCCGGCCGGGCTTCGAGGGCCGCTGCCCCAAGACGGCCGCCGAGCTGGAGCAGGCGTTTCGCGAGAGTCGCGCGTACCGCGTGGTCCTCGACGACGTGGGCGGCTTCGAGAAGCACATGCGCGACACGGGGCACGCCGACGCGCAGACGTTTGTCGACTCGGTGCGCGACGCCAAGTCCCGGACGGTCCTGAAGCAGTCCGTCTACACGGTCAGCCTGTGGAAGCAGGTGCTGGCGTGCACGCGGCGCGAGTTCTGGCTCGTCTGGGGCGACAAGACGTCGCTGTACACCAAGTTCTTCGTCATTGTCAGCAACGGCCTCATTGTCGGGTCGCTCTTTTACAACACGCCGTCCAACACGGGCGGCGCCTTTCTGCGCGGCGGCGTCGCCTTCTTCTCCATCCTGTTCCTGGGCTGGCTGCAGCTCTCGGAGCTGATGAAGGCCGTGTCGGGGCGCGCCGTCATTGCTCGTCACGGCGAGTACGCCTTTTACCGGCCGAGCGCCGTGAGCCTGGCCCGCGTGCTGGCCGACCTGCCCATGCTCGCCGTCGAGGTGGTCGTCTTCAGCGTCATCATGTACTTCATGACGGGGCTGGATGTCGAGGCGGGCAAGTTCTTCATCTACATGCTCCTCGTGTACGTCACCACGATTTGCCTGACGGCGCTGTACCGCATGTTTGCGGCCGTGTCGCCGACCATGGACGACGCCGTGCGCTTCTCGGGCATCGCGCTCAACCTGCTCATCGTCTATACCGGATACACGCTCGCCAAGCCCGTGCTGCTCGGGCAAAAGATTTGGTTTGGCTGGCTGTACTACGTCAACCCCATCAGTTACGCCTTTGAGGCCGTCCTCACCAACGAATTCGCCGGCCGGACCATGGAGTGCGCGCCGGCGCAGCTCGTGCCCCAGGGCCCTGGTATTCGGCCCGAGAACCAGGGCTGCGCCATTGCCGGATCGCATCCGGGGAACCCCCGGGTCGCGGGATCCGACTACCTGGCGTCGCAGTTTGAGTACAGCCGCTCGCACCTGTGGCGCAACTTTGGCATCGTCATCGCCTTCACCGTCGGGTACATTGCGCTGACGGTGCTGGCCACGGAGAAGATGTCCTTTGGCGGCTCGGGCCTCGGCGCCCTCGTCTTCAAGTCGTCCAAGACGCCGCGGCGGGCGGCCCGGGCGAACAACAAGACGGACGAGGAGCAGCAGCACACGCAGCCGGGCGACGCGATGACGGCGGCGGCGGTGGCGCGCCAGAGAACCCCCGACGAGGTCCTCGAGGCCTTCAACCGCAGCGAGCAGGTGTTTACCTGGGAAAACATCAGCTACACGGTCCCCGCGGCGCAGGGCCCCAAGAAGCTGCTCAACGACATCCACGGCTACGCCAAGCCCGGCGTCCTGGTCGCCCTCATGGGGGCCAGCGGCGCCGGCAAGACGACGCTGCTCAACACGCTGTCGCAGCGGCAGACGGTGGGCGTCGTCGAGGGCAGCATGCTCGTCGACGGCTCGGCCCTCACGTCCGACTTCCAGCGGCGCACCGGCTTCGTCGAGCAGATGGACCTGCACGAGGCGTCGGCGACGGTGCGCGAGGCCCTCGAGTTCTCGGCGCTCCTCCGGCAGAGCCGCGACGTCCCGCGCCGCGAGAAGCTCGCCTACGTCGACACGGTGATTGACCTGCTGGAGCTGCACGAGCTGCAGGACGCCGTCGTCGCGTCGCTGGGCGTCGAGCCCAAGAAGCGGCTGACGATTGGCGTCGAGCTCGCGGCCAAGCCGTCGCTGCTGCTCTTCCTCGACGAGCCCACGAGCGGCCTCGACTCGCAGGCGGCCTATTCCATCGTGCGCTTCCTCCGCAAGCTCTGCGCCTCCGGGCAGGCCGTCGTGTGCACCATCCACCAGCCGTCGTCGGAGCTCATCGAGCAGTTTGACAAGATCCTCGCCCTCAACCCCGGCGGCAACGTCTTCTACTTTGGCCCCGTCGGCCGCAACGGCCACGCCGTCGTCGACTACTTTGCCGCCCGGGGCGCCCACTGCCCCGAGGGCAAGAACGTGGCCGAGTTCCTCGTCGAGACGGGCGCCCGCGCCGACGCCCGCGAGCACTGGAACGAGCAGTGGCGCGTCTCGGACGAGAACAGGGCCCTCGTCGACGAGATCCAGCAGATCAAGCGGCAGCGCGGCCGGGCGGCCTCGTCTCACCCGGTGCTCTCGCACGAGTTCGCCGCCCCCGTGTGGGAGCAGACCCGGCTCCTGGCCAAGCGCATGTTCATCAACCAGTGGCGCCAGCCGTCGTACATTTACGGCAAGCTCTTCACCGCCGTCATTGTCGGCATCTTCAACGGCTTCACCTTTTGGCAGCTGGGCGACACCGTCAACGACATGCAGAGCCGCATGTTCACCTCGTTCCTCATCCTGCTCATCCCGCCGACCGTGCTCAACGCCATCCTGCCCAAGTTCTACATGGACCGCGCGCTCTGGGAGGCCCGCGAGTACCCGAGCCGCATCTACGGCTGGGTCGCCTTCTGCTCCGCCTCGGTGCTGTCCGAGATCCCGGGCTCCCTCGTCGCCGGCGTCGTCTACTGGGCGCTGTGGTACTGGCCCACGGGCCTGCCCACCGACTCCCTGACCTCGGGCTACGTCTTCCTCATGACGGTGCTCTTCTTCTTGTTCCAGTCCAGCTGGGGCCAGTGGATCTGCGCCTGGGCGCCCAGCTTCACCGTCATCAGCAACGTCCTGCCCTTCTTCCTCGTCATGTTCTCCCTCTTCAACGGCGTCGTTGTCCCGTACGACCAGCTCAACGTCTTTTGGAGATACTGGGTACGTATATACACTTGCACACCTCGTGTCCTCGAAAAAGCCGGCTAATGCGTTTCCAGCTGTACTACTTGAATCCCAGCACGTACTGGATCAGCGGCGTTCTCGCCACCACCCTGGCCAACCAGCCCGTCCGGTGTGCCGCCAACGAGGCTGCCTACTTTGACCCCCCGGCCGGCCGTACCTGCGCGGACTTTGCGGCCGATTTCGTCGCGCGCGCCGGCAGGGGCTACCTCGTCAACCCGAATGACACCGACAATTGCAGCTACTGCCCGTATGCGAGCGGCGCCGAGTACCTGGCCTCGCTGAACATTGAGCCGAGTCAGAAGTGGAGAGATCTCGGCATCTTTATTGCCTTTTGTGTTTCCAACTGGATGTGAGTATTGTGGCGGTTTGTTTGCCGAGGCGTACAGTGACTAATGGGTGTTGTCTAGGCTGGTTTACTTTTTCATTTATACCGTCCGCGTCCGACGATGGAACTTTGGCCTGGGATATATTTTTGGTTTTCTTTAAGTATAGTAGTAGACTAACGGCCGCAATGGCGTTTCTGGCCCAAGTGAAACTGAGTCGTCAACCGGCTCGGGAGTGGCAGCGTGCATTAAAAAATTAGAAGCGCGAGATGCAATAGATTACTAATACCGTTCAACATTTCGATTTATTAATAACACTTTAGACTGCTGAATTCGTTTCCGGGCAAGTGACCTATGTAACTATACTAACTTGACAGGCTTTGTTGCCTAATCGTAAAGTAAGCAAGTACGACTAGTATCATGTCTCGAATACCTTTAAAAACTTGTGGTTTGAAGTGGATTTTGTGTTAATAGAAGCGTTTTTGAAAGAAAGTAGTTACTGCCTGTAGACTATTTGAGGGGGGGAAAACAAAGTCATTCGCTGGTTTACTTCTAAACTGCACTGGGACGAGGACAGCACGTCTATTGAACATGAGCCGGCTTGAATCCTCCCAGATGGGCGGGCAATGAAGTAACCCACGAAGCACATCAGGCAGTGTCTGGTGCGCCATACGCATGTAGAAGTGTACGCGCATAGGTTCAAGTGTGACGTGGCTCCGGGTGGTGATGCCACAAGTGCGCCATGACAACAGCGGTTTAAACAGGGCGGCTACATCAACGTTTTCTCAAGAACTGCATGGAATGCTGATCTAATACCTTGCGCCTTTCAGACCTGCCCTGGTGCTCTTTAACAGCTAAACCCGGGGCCATGGCCATGTCGTATGCAGATTCACTCCTGGGCGACGCAGCAGACACAACCACAACGGCTTGGCTGCAGCGGCATCGCGTGGACGATACATGTAAGCTGTCCATGGAAGTTGAGTCTCCTAGGATGATGTACAGGAGTATTCTCCTGGGATAATGTGAATGACTTGTATATTAAATTGCATAGTCATAGGTGGTCAATGAATGGAGCATTCAATGACCAAAAAGACTTAAAATAGTGCCAATATAATACAACCATAGGTGGACAAAAGACCTAGTGTGTGGTTTCGTACTAAGGGCTATATGAAGCCTCTTATCTCAGTTTCCTCGAGTAGCCGTGTGCCTCAATAAAGATGATGTCCATCTCACGGCGGAGTGATGAGGCGAGTAAGGCCAGAGAGTAAATAACAAAACAATCTGCTAATAACCCAAATAGCAAGGTAATATCATGCTCGTTGCCGTGGTGATGTCCTAGTTACTCCCCATGGAGCAGCAATTACAAAGCCTTATTTGAGTCGTTTGATGAAGCCGTCAGCCAGTCGCCTCATTTTACAGGTTGGTGTGTTGAACGATCCTGACCGTTATATATTCGTGCTGAAAGTTTTGCCCCCAGGTTCGCAGGAGTCTGTGGGTGCCCGCAAAGTTATCTCAGTGGTGTCTGGTATTGGATGTTTTCTTTTCTTTCTTTTTCTTCCTCTTTTTCTGGCTGTACGTTATCTCCATGCAATAGTTACTGTCGTGCTTTAATTACTTTGGCGAATGAGCAGAATGGGCTCCAACTAATGACAGGAATAATCCTGACGTCACACACGAATCATCAAAGCAGTACTCACTATACTCTTCTTCTGTGAGCGATGTTGCTCTGAATTAGTCGTGCGCAACTTTTATTACTTTGATAACAACTAATATAAAACCCACCATTCATAATAACCTGAGCATTCAAATTTGTTGTCTCATTAACATCTCACACTATGCCTCGACACTGGAAGCGACTTAGGCGGTCTGCTTCCGCTAATAGCACACTATCGACTTCGACAAGAGAAGAGCATTTAAGTCCCGCATACGAGCACGACAGCCTGAATGGAAGTGGACCGATATCCAGTAGTGAGCCCGATGCAGCCATGGATCCAACTCTGCTGGATGAAGCGGTAATACCAGAAGCTGAGCAGCCTTTAGCCAAGACCAAGGCCAGTGACGCACACGCCGTGGGGGGCGGTGGCTATAATTCTCTCAAATCGTTCAATGGCCAGTACTACTCCGGCATCGCGGTTGGTGGCTCTCACACTTGGAACTACGACGGCGGCGTGTGGCACGAGGTCAAGACGGAGCCGGACCTGTGGAAGATTAACTACGAGACAAACAAAAGGAGGGCCAGAAAGGCCTCCGAACTAAGCGGCGTGCCCGTAGGCACCGAGAACCATTGGCTAATTGTTGCGCATCAGGTGTGTTCCTTGTCAAAAGTCAGGACCAAGCGTTGAGGAGTAACTAATGTCGACGCTCTTTGTGCATGCAGCGCGTCCGAAAAGTCGATGCAAATACGTACGAAACGCACCTCGAGGGGTCTAAATATAAGCTTGCTCAGAAAGGCGCAACGTCGGATTCATGGTCAAATGCTACGGTCAAGAGGCAGCGAGGATGCGGGCTGGGGTTCTTTGGGGACGCCAAGCGACGCGTTCAACAGTTGCCGCTTGTATTGGGCAATGGAAAGGTCAAGGTGAAGACGGTTGAGAAGGGGCAATAGAAGCTTGAGGACATGATGTTCAGAAAGCACGGACAGTGTGAAGGGAAGCGGCAAGCGGGCAGGGGACTGACTGAGAATTATGGCGCTCATACAAGTTAAACCTAATATCACGACACTAGGTGATGCTGCCCGGGACCCAAGCTTTAGTGTCCCCTAATAAAGTACTTGGATAATAAAAGATACCAACTGGGCCTCTGGGTATAACAACTTACTTGTTGGGTCCGGTGAGTAATGGATTGGTTCGTGTGTGGAAGGCGTTAACAACCTACATATACTATTGTCTACTCCTCGCTGCCTCTTGCAGAATAACATGATTATTAACAAATTTAAATGCTCAAGTTATTATTAATAGTGGGCTTTATATTACTTGGTGCTAAAGTAATAATAGTTGCGCACGGCTAATTCAGAGCAATATTGCTCACACCCAGATTCTTTATTTCTAAACTTCTTCCGTAAAAACTACAACAGAGTATTAGGAGATGGATAGATGCTCAACAGTTTAGAGTTGACGTAGTGTCTGGGGTGTCGGAAACCATCTTGGCGCGCGCAATGCGACTTCAAGTCCGTTAACTACCTAGTTCCTAGTTCCGTGTACACGGAAATCATGCTAGAGTACGTTCTCATTTTTTCGACCCAATAAGACGTACCAAATCATAGTCAGCATCGCTGACACCCGGGTATAGGGCAGCGATATTGACTCGGCTAAAGGTGCCGATGCCGAGTGGGATCAACGTCAAGCTGTCGTAATCCATCAAGAGGAGTAAACATGCCATTTGATAACAGGCTCTTCAGAGGTATTAAAAACCATTTCTTGTCAAAAAGTGTCCCATCACTCGTCCTGTTTGGACTCTGCCATCCGTGAATAACGCAACCGCCCGCCATGGATCCAAGTTTTTCGCAGCCCGGCATACAGTCTCGCAACTCCATTGAAGACATCTGGGGCCCAAGAACACCGTATGTCCACGAATGGCCCGTACGAGTCGACGTTGCGGCAGATGATGACCCGGAAAGATGGGTTCAGAGTGCATGTGTGCTCTGCAGGTAGGTTTACTAGATGGTAAATTTTAATGGTATATGGTTCATCGGGCCATAAATATCTACTAGCAACGGGTGTGCCTTGGATATCGGCGTGAAAAATGGCAAAGTCGTAGGTGTGAGGGGCTGTGCAACAGATCGAGTGAACAAGGGAAGGCTTGGACCAAAGGGACTTTATGGGTGCGTTTACAGATGATCCAAAAAAGTGCTACAATCGCTGGGTAGCTGACATGCAGTTGTATACCATGATGAACAGCTGGAAAGCAATCCACAGCAAGGATAGGATTACGCATCCATTGATTAGGCGCAATGGCAAGCTAGAGAAAGCATCGTGGGACGAAGCGATGGACCTTGTTGTACAAAAGTCCAAAGAGCTTCTCAGCCGGCTTACCGCGCATAGCATTGCCTTCTATACGACGGGACAGTTATTTCTCGAGGAGTATTATGCATTGGCTCTCATTGGTAAAGCAGGTCTCCAGACAGTTCACATGTACGCATCGTGCTTTCTAATATTCTCGCCCCCCGCCTGAGCAGAGACGACTGACTACACACATGGTTAGGGACGGCAACACGCGTGTCTGTACCGCAATTGCAGCTGCCTCCATGAGGGAATCGTTTGGGTCGGATGGCCAACCAACATCGCATACAGATATTGACTACACTGACTGTTTGTTTCTTGTTGGCCATAACATGGCAGCTACACAAACTGTAGTCTGGTCCAGAGTTCTTGATAGAATACATGGCCCTAAACCTCCCAAGTTAATTGTAATCGACCCGCGTTACTCAGAGACGGCAAGCAAGGCCGATGTGCATCTGACGCCACGGATAGGAACGTATTTACCCTTGCTCAACGGTATCCAGCACCTAATGTTCAAGAATAATTAGATTGACCAGGCTTACGTCGAGAAGCACGTGGTCGGCCTACAGGCACTTGAGAAAACCGGCTCTGAACACACCACGGAAAAAGTGGAAGAAATCACCGGAGTTGCGGCTACTAAGCTCCAGCAGGCGGCGCAGATAATCGGGACAACACCAACTCTGCTGTCTACAGCCTTACAAGGCGTGTATCAGTCCAACCAATCCACGGCAAGTACTTGTGAGATAAACAATATCAACCTTATGCGCCGACTCATTAGAAAGCCTGGCAGTAGCGTGCTCCTGATGAACGGACAGCCCACGGCTCAAAATAACCGTGAAGTGGGTTGCGATGGCGAATCTCCCGGTTTCCGCAACCACCAGAATCCGGCACATTTCGACGAACTGGCCGAGCTCTGGAACCTGGACAAGATTCGAATTCCACACTGGAATGAGCCGACTCACATAGAAAACATGCTCAAGTATATGCAAAATGAAAACTAGACGCATGGTCTGGGTCAGTGGCACAAACCCGCTCGTCAGCCTTCCCAATGTGTCAGAGATATATTTACTCAACCGGAGCTCTTCGTCGTCTGTCAAGACATCTACTGGACTGAGACGGTAGCCATGGCAGATGTCGTCCTGTCAGATGCTCAGTGGGGAGAAAAAACAGGATGTTTTACAACCGGTGACCGGACAGTGCATATTTCCCACAAGGCCAGCTTGAGCCGCGGGTGGAGAAATTCGGCGAGGACAAAGAAGCTGGCCGTAAGCACGCGGCGCATTTTCTTGACGAGGCTATTATTGGGACGATACACGGCGACGCAGGGGGGGCAGCATGGGCCACTGGGCGTGCTTTTCGTCCTGCGAGGTCTGCAGGTGTATCTGGCGCATATTGAAGCGTGTCTGACGGCCTTGAATCCTGTCAGTCAAGTATATGGGATCAGTGCTTCTTTGACGCCGTTGAATCTTCAGCACAAGAGCTCGGGAGAATGAAAAGTTGGGTCAGCCATCAGATTCAGGTGCGAGCGCCGCAGACGTTGCTGGTACCTCATTTGAAGCAAGCAAAGGGATAGCATAGGGCACGAGTGGACTATTCTGGCACTGACTGATCTTGGACTTGTATAAACCTCGAGCTTCTTACGGTCCGCACTCACTGGCTCGATGTTGATCCGGCGTTGGGTTGTGATGTCGATAGTCGCGTGGTAGAGGCTATTAGTCGGTGTGATGATTGACTGGTGTTTTCGCAGCATTTTCCTATTCCATCGAGCTTATAGGGGACGCAATGAGTAACTGGTTAGTAGTATTTTACTTTGTAGCACATCATGGCACATCAAGTGTTTCAGTTGATTGGGTCACCAGAAATCATGCGTAATCGTATGCGGTAGTATAATGTGGCTACGCGTGATGGTGTGAGCCGGTATTGGTGGCAGAGACGGCGATCAGAGTGTATTTTTGTCTCAAAAGAATACGCCTAGTCTTTTTTGTAATATCTAGGTGTATATAAAGTAGCTAATACTATGTAATAGTTAAATAAGCCGCCATATTTATATTATAACGCCCGCGAGCTAAGTATTGGCTTGTAAGACATGGATGATATATTATTACTCTTTCACTACTATAAACTACCATGATGAATCAAGAGAGGTGACAAACGTTATAATAAGAGCCTCCATAGCAGTTGCTGAATTGCAGTTGCCTCAGTCCCTCTCACTTAATACAAGTCGTTAGCCAACGTTCTTAATGACACTTAGTATATATACGTTTAACTAAATGATTTCTCTCTTTGTATTAACCGTAAGCAGACGTGAATTGAATTTACAAGCTCATTATAGGCTAAAAGCGTTTGGAGCAAGCGACGCTCAACTCTTGTACCGAATTTGAACTGGTCGTCGGGCCTTTACCCCGGGTTTCATCATTAGCTTTCTGTTTTTCCGCAGCGGGAAGCAGATCGTCACTGCTGTAAATGTCTTCTTGAGGGGACCTGTCCGGCTTCGCCTGTCGCTTACCAAGGGGCAAAACCGAATTGGCGTCTTGACCGTGGTCCGATGTTTTGGAGTGAATCTTTTTTGTCTCTCCCACCCTGACAATAAGGGGCTTTACGGGTCTCCGAATGTATTCCTTGGGGGTACTTTTCGAAATGCTTGATTGTGATCCAAAAATCGCTGTAGACGACTCGCCCATTCCTACTAGTGAGCGGCTATCGCCTTGAATGTGAATGCCTGGTTCTTCTGATGAATTACCAGAAGGATCCTCGTCGACCTCAGTATCCTTCGTAGATGCCGCGTTTATCTGGTTTTCTCCCAAGCTTTCCAAGAACGGGTAGGTGATGGTCACGGCTTTCCCATCCCATGATTCAGCCTTCTTCTCTTGCCTTTTCGCCTCAGCCCCAATTTTCATCCAACATTTAAACGGATCTCCCTGTGAAGATTTAAAATCCTCTTGAAACAAATTCCGCCACCGCTCTTTTCGCTCCTTAATCTTCTTTAGAATTTCCCTCTCCGCCAAACCATTGTTTCTCGTCCGGTCCGCCAAAGTCTTCCGGTCCGTCGGAGATGCAAAAGTCTCGAACCAAGCATTATAATCTAGCTCGGTTTCGGGGCCGGTAAAAAACAGCGGGCGAAGCATATACCCAGCACCAGGAATGGTCTTTTCCAAACGAAGTAGAGTCCCAATCACATTTGTACCCCAAAACTCCCAATGTCCCCTGAGTCGCTTCAAGGGTATCCCATGGGCTTCTGACGTTCGTGCTGCGCTGGCAACGTACACATTATGCACCATACCAATCGCGCCGACGAGTAACAGAAACCAAGAATCCTCGGTAGAACCGCCAATCATGAGCAGTAATGCGACCCAAGCAACTGCCAAAATCATTGTTAAAACTGCCCTTGTGTTACTTGGCCTGTAGCTTGCCGCTGCCAAGCGATCAAAGTAAGGAAGTCTGGAGGCAGCTTTCGGTACAGCTTGACCATGCTCCATTTCTTCGTTGTCAAACGAGTTTGGCAAGACGACAATGGCAATATTGTGCCCATTTCCTCTTGTGATTATGTACGGGGTTTTCGAATCGCAACGCCCATTACCAAACTTTTGTATTTTTGACGTATGAACAGCTGCCGTCAAGACGGCCAACAAATTTCCAATTACGGTAATGATGAGGATATAAAAGTTTGGATTAGAGCTTTTGCGCGTCGGGTACGGTATCAGAGGACAGACAGCAACGAACAGTTGTAAAATTAGAAAATACACAAAGGACCACCACACTCGGTCTCGTTTGTGCTCAAATGTAGCCCCTATCTTGGGGTCTATGATGAAAGGAGCTATATGCAGCGCATGCGGCCTCTCTCCGGCTTTGGTGGCTCTGTTGGTGATGTCGCCCGTGGGGTCAATCTCTCGCTCCAGGTCTCGCAGCAACCTACCGATAACCCACGACTGGTTCTCTCTTCTGTCTCCAGATGCCACAGTGACAACAGTGGCAGGATAATCCGGCTTAGGAAAGTAGTCGGCACTGCCGAATGCGTTTGCTACCGATATGAAAGCATACGAAACCCAGCCGTAGCTGAATATGACGGGAGTAAAATACGGAACGGATGGCGGTGCGTTGCATGCCAACTGTGCAATTGCCTTTTGGATAATGTCTCCACCTATTAGGAGTAAGATGGAGGCAATTCCCTGCGGGTTGGTAAACTGTTTCTGCAGCCATTCTTTTGTATATTTGACCTCAACTCCTTCACTGAAATCCCTCCGAAAACGTGCATGGATGCCGTCGACGATACCATACCTGGCATGTTTCTGCCAGCGGGACAGGTAGAGCATGTCAGCATTGAAGGCCAGGAGCAGGAAGGCAGAGGCCAGTAATGCTGCCAAAACTAGACGGGAAACGAAGCGGGCAAATACTTTTGAGTAATTCATTGTGAGCCTCCAATTACGAGGTACATTAGGAAATAAGCCGAGGCAAAATACCCGGACTAGCACTCAAGTAGATGAGCAGGGAAAACGACAACAACAAATGCATGATGAAGGGACTTTTTTATATAGCATGATGGAAATGAAGATGATAGGGCCTTCTAATCATGTGGCGAACTCCAGCCGCCAACGAATCCCCTGAGACAGGCAGCCTTCTATCCCGGAACAAGGCAGCGGGCTTGCATTGGCGACGTTTTGATTGGGGAGACGCTGTCACATTCATGTGTGACTGTCTTGGTGAGGTAGTAGATTTCAATACAGCATGAAATACGTATATGCAGTACAACGATCCAATGTTGATGACTATCGAAGCCACTGCTCTTGGCATGCAATCCAGATGTGCACAGATAGTAGACAACCTTGAACGGTGAATCTCCAGAGTCTGTACAGAATATGTAGTACAGAGCAACTACTTACAGCATGTTTCAATGTTGGTGTATAGTTGAATGACCGGGACAACAACATCACGGTGTATGCCCAAATACATGTAGGCCCAATCCACGAAACAACCACGGAGTAGTACCTTATTGACCGGACTGGACTCGACCTGTCGACGCCACTCGCGAGCTGAAGTCGTTGTGCATGTCGCGACATGGAGCGACGCGGGCCGTGCCTCAGACCAATTACAAGGATGCATGCGGGGCTAGCGAATTGTCACATGCACCGTAAGCAAAGGCCATCCAATAGTTGGTCTGTCTCAAGACCCACCGCCGTCTCCTTGTGGGGCTACTGGCAGCACCTGCTACCCGTCCGACGCCGCACACACGAGGCTGGTGCAACATCATGTAGCCAATCCCAGCCCCAGACGAGCCGGTACGTACCGGTCGACCGTTTCGGGGTCAAATGCTGACATGCCGGTTCAGGCCGAACAGTCATCAATGATCATCATGGGGGCCAAAATCTCAGGCCTGAAGCAAACCGTTCCCCGATTTTTAGCAATGGGGTAGTGAGCGGGCGGGCGACTCTGTACCGAGTAAACCTGGCCACAGAAGTCTTATCAAGCAGACCAAGCCAGACTGGAGGACCCTGTTGCCTTGCTCGTATACACTCTGTAAAGACCAGTGCAGCAGCCTAGCCATGCCCATCGCACATCATCTCATCCTCTGCCAGTTGAAAAGCCTCGAGTATCTTGTCCACCTTGTTGTCACCACGCCAAAAATGGACCACATCCTGGTCGCAAGCGACGACCATGCACACAAGGCGATAGAAGTTCCTTATTTGGATGATGAGAGATTTAGGTACGATGATCTTGGGCTGTTGTCTTATCCGGAGAGAGTCGCTGTGGATGTGGTTCGACTGGCAGAGGATAGAGATACGAGTCTGAGATTGAACAACTCGGCTCCATTTATCCAAGCATGGCTGTGGTTTGGACTTCTTGGGGAATGCCTCCTGGTCGGGTTGCGACACAGCTCGGCACCCAAGCGCATACACTGGGGAACCTTTGTCAAGACCATTGCTAATCAGAGGTTCGTATCCCTCAGGGAATTAAACAATGTTTTGTCCGAACCTTCGGCGCGAGCCATGTCTGCAGCCTTCATCGAGTGGCGAAGCCAACGTCTTCTTGCCTGCACTCGGGTGGCTCATGACTTTGTGGCAAGAGCTTTGGACACCTTAAAGCTTCCCAACGCAACTCGGAAAGATGAAACAATACTTTCCGATACTATTCTTGTTTGCCTCTCTGTTCAAATACTTTGTCAAACCCTCCTAGAAACAATGAGCCCGCGCAGTGGCGTAATGCCGCTTGAGCTACCACCCAACGTCTCATTGGATGCTGTCAATCTGCTTCTCAAGGGGGCTGGATGGTGTCCCAAGGATATCGACCTCTTACCCAAGGATGTCGTCTATCGATTCTACTTGACAAGCCTTCGACCGCGGCGGATTGCCGGTGAGCCTGGACACCGCGGGCGACACGGATGCAGTTGTCATCAAGGGCAAGGACAAGCCACGTCGCCTGATTCCATGATTGAACCATTGCACACGCGTCAGACATGCCAGTGCACGCAGCACGAGATGCGTGGACAGCATCTCAAATATGGACTGAAAAATGATTCCATGTTCATATTTAAACTCCCTCAAGGCACAACACTGTCATTCGACCGGGTTCCCTTGCCGGACATGTCCATTGAAACCCCCCTATCGACTGCTCGCTTTGTGGCCATCAGTCACGTACGCAGCGTCGGGCTTGGCAACGATAGAAAGAATTCTCTACCCTTCTGTCAACTCACTCTTATCCAAGTCTTGGTCAATCAGATCGACCCTCCCCAAAATGAACAGACCGACACTGCTTTCTGGATTGACACAATGGCACTGCCCACTGACTTGAGGCGTCGCAAACCCATGCTTTCGTCCCTTCGCAGGGTCTTTGGGACGGCGACCGCGGTTCTAGTCCTGGATCCCTCCTTGTCCACGCATTGTTTCCGGTCTGCGGAAGAAGCTCTCATTCAGATACGATACTCGCTGTGGAAACAAAGACTCTGGACCATTGAAGAGGCTTTTTTTGCCAGGAGACTCATCTTTCGCTTTGCCAACCGAATGGTCTCTTTGGATGAGTTGCTGACGGCATTTTCGGCTTCCCGACCTCTACGAGTACCAGTCCTGAAGCCGCCTCTAGAAATTTTACCCGTCGACCATGAGAGCATGATGTCTCATCTCATCTGCTTTGCTAATGACATTCATGCGACCCCGGAAAACACAATAGACAAGCGGGAATTATACCGAATACTCCGTGCTGGATATCTTTCGTCGCCCAAGTTTCGGTACTTTGTGGAGCCTGGGGAACTTAATCTTACGAAACAAGCTTGCTTCGCAATCCAGAATACATATCAATCTACTACCTCAATGAATTCCAGCTTAGATCACGTTGCAGCTAGATTGGGTTTAGTGCTGGACACCTTTTTAGGAAGAAAGTCGTAGTAAATTCGATGCGTTACAGATATAATAAGAGTTGCCGCGAATTAGAGACGAGTATATAGAACTCTTTTAAATACCAAGAAACTTCCTCTTATCCAGATTCAACTTTCGGCCATGTTTAGTCTTGATAGTCGACGCTGCGATAACCGGCAATTACACCAAGCTCTGCGAGTTTAGTCTACAGAGGCATTTTCCGACAGGTAACTCTCCCAGTACTCCCGTGAGCCTGGTTGTGCAAATCATACAGCGCTTATCCGTCCACTTTCATCAAATCGCATTTACTTCTAGATTCCTTTCTCTCAAGGATGATTAGCCAGTGCATGGATGCTGCTTTGGCCAGGATATCCCCCCGTCACAGCCCGTGCATTGATAGGGCAGAAAAGTGCATCGCGCGACAGGTAATTAGGCACTGGAGGTAGACAGTTACTGGGAAATAATGTAGTAACAAATTGGCTCATGGCTCTATAAATGAGTGGAAGAGATAAGAGATGCTTCGATGGCACCCAGTAAAAGATTGACTAGTATAAATTTTCGCAAACCCAAACGTCGCCCTTGACATGGAACCCCAAATTAAGCCCAAGCCCGTTTAAACACCTCGTTAAATTGTAGTTGTAGCTGTTGAAAAGCTGTCAACACGAGCTTTAAACTCACCTCGTCGTCGTTCGGCCCATTCGGCGTGGATGCTTGTTCCACGGGTGGGACACTGCAGCGTTTATTAGACTGGATAGAAGGTGTGTTCTCTTCTTGTGAGCTTCCGCTGCTCAAGTCATCGTCCCATGAATCCGCAAGAACAACCTTTTTCTTCTTTGCAGAGAGAGCAACGGGGTGTTGCGGGGCTCCCTGATCAACCTCATCCCTGGCCTCGGATGCATATTCGTCACCGGTATCCTCTTGGAGGACATCACTCAAATTTTGCACATCCATCATGGCGGCATCGCCATTAGAAGAGCCCTGTTCGAAAAAGTTTGTGAGGCTTGTGATTATGGTCGCCAGAATAAGCGAGAAATCCTTCAAGTGAAACCATACATCGCCAGCCTTTATACCGTTATCTCGTACCAGCGCCTCCATGTCTCCGTGCTTGAAAAAGTCATAGATGTACGCATTCCATGGTATACGAGCATCATCATTTGGATGAATGGGGATGTACGGAACCCCGGATTCCTCAAGAAAGACTCCGTCTCGGACGGTAGTGCAGAGATCGTGGATAGACTGGAAGTCATCAGTGAATCCAGAAAGAGCAGCAAATGGTGAGCAGAGCTTGGGTGGGGGGAGATGGTCAATGATTGACAATGCATCTCGTCCATTTGTCCCTTGGACCTTGCGTTTTGTAAAAGGGAGCTGGTTGTCTGGCTGACCGTCGAGATATTGATCGATAAACGAGCTGACGTAGTTTCGAAATATGTGGAGAGTCTTGTTATTGTGCTCATGAAGGATAGTCTCGGCTCGTTTCGGTAGCGGTGGCAAGATGACGAGAGATGGAGACCTGTGGATTCTGTCCTCGGTCGGTTCGTCACTCCCCAAACGGAGAGGTATACGGCAAAACAGATGGGCGAGAACAAGTACGAGCTCAAGGTGAAGCTCTTGCGGCTTCTGGTGAAGGGTTCGGCACAGCTCGTGAAAATAACCACCCTTCAGCAACGAGTGGAAAGCAAAGACGGCGTTCTCAGTAAAGTAAAGATGGCCGACCAAGCCTGCAAAATTGAGGGGAGCCCCGGTGTGAGACAATAGATGCTGTCTTCGGAGATACTCTATTGAGAAGCGCAAATGATGTCTGATTGTCATCTGATTGGATGGGCCACCGAGATAGAGGCGAGTTTGCGACTGTATGGACCGAATCGCCTTGACCGCGTATTCCGAATTTGCTGTGTGATGCAGCAGTCCCAATAGGCGCAGAACCAGAGTAGTTGATAGTGGAAACTGGCCGTGGAGGTCGGGGAGTCTGGAGGACATGATTTCAAAAACCCTCTCGGGAGTCATTCCCACGAAGACAACATTTCCGAGAAGGTCGAACCCCCGGCGGCCAGCTCGCCCAGCTGCTTGATTGTAATTCAGGGCTGTGAGGAACACGGAATCGCCGAAGAATACTACAGTCCTGCAGGGCATGTTAATGCCCAAGGCCAGGGTGCCCGTGGCGACCACAACCCTCAGAAAGCCCTTCCTGAAAAGCATCTCAACCCTACAAGGCAGTGTCAATGGGGGCAACAAGACGGCGACTCGAGGACGAGATGGACTTACACTTGGCGATATTGCCGATTCATTCCCGCGTGATGAACTCCCATACCCCGTCGTAGAGCGTCAATGATGCCCGGTTTCAAGTTTGCTTTTTTGAGGGACACGATGATATCATCAAACTCGGAGTCGAGTAATTTTGTTCGGTCAGCAAACGAGAACATGTCTAGTATCGCTTCTGGATCAAAGGTTTCCCAGACGCTAGGGTCCTGATTTGCAGCTTCTTCGACCATGTCTTTCTTGCAAAGCCCATCCTGCGAGGACAATGACGTCCTGTCTTTCCTTTTGCCGTGGGTTTTGGAGGTCTTCTTCCATTTTTCATATTCAGCAACTTTCTTCTTCCATTCCATTCTTTTTGTATCTTTCCAATCCGATTCTGCGAGCGTAAGCTGCTTTTCAACAAAAGAGATTATTTTTTCACAATATTGCCGATCGTAGTTGAATACGATTGCAGGAAGCGCCCCATGGCAATGGAGGTCAGCAAGGAGCTGTAGCGCTGAAGCAAGTAGACCAGACTTTTTACTGTTTGGATTTACATCAGTATTACTCGGCTCGTATGTGCTCAAATTGGATGCTTCATGCTGAATAGACAGGTGCCGTTGAATAATTGGCGACTGAAGGTCGCTTCGGACGGATGAAAATGGCGAACTGGTGTCTTGCATCCATGCGAACAAGGCCTGCTTCAACGCAGCCTCCCAACGAGCAATATCACCCTTCTTCAAAATAGTAGGAAGGGCATTCCGAGGATTCAAGGCGTCATTCAATGGAAATTCTTTACTTTGATGCTTCATCATACACTGCCATAAGACGAAGCAATCTCTCCCTTCGAAATTGATGTCGTTGATGGTACTCCGATTTCTAGTGCAATGACTTTAGCTTGAGGATGTCAAGAAGCAAAATTTGTACTTGTCCATACCTGTTGATGAGACTAGCCACTGGGTGAATACCCGTGAAGGGCGACGTCTCATGCTGCTCCCCATCTAACCCTGGAATCGATAGTCCTTCTGTAGGTCCAAGCCCCCTAAAAATCTGGTCTTTCGTAGGATGATATATGAATTTTCGAAGATCCGAATACCTATGGGGATGAACAATCATTTCCAATTCGTGGCCTTTGGCTTTCTCCGATCCTTGCAACCAGGCACCGAAATCCATTGGATTACCCACCGTTGCGGGCAAGGCAATGATGGGACAGGGCGCGAGTAGGAGTAACTGTTCCCATATGACTCCCTCGTCTGATTGCCCGATACAGTGCACCTCGTCAAAAATGATCCTCTTTACCCTCAAAGACCACGAGTTGGCCGTCTTTGCATTTGATGGTGCTAACAGCATGATTTGCAGCATATGCGGGACTGTAATGAGGATCTGGCAGCCTGTAGGGTTATTGATTCTGTAGTCCCTTGTATGGATTGCCCATACGGATCTGCCCGGAGTAGAATAAGCCTTTGAGAATCTGGCCTGCACCTCGGCGGCAATTTGATTGACGAGGGCCTTGGTGGGAGCCACATATACGATGACGTCGTCGTCGTTTGACTGCAGCACCTTCTTCATTGCATAGAATGAAACAAAAGTTTTGCCAGCCGAGGTCGGCGCAACGACGAACAAGCTCTTGTTGGCATCTATGGCATCCAGGACATCCCTCTGCCAGGCATCCGGGCTGAACGGTACACGAGGGTCCGGCATCGAGTCAAAGCCTCTTTCCATATATGGTCCGCAATGAGTCAGCTGAAACTCGAGAGAATCAACTGGGATCCGTAGTTGATCGCTCAGACTTGACGTTATACTGGCAAAGGGAAGCTTGCGTCCCTTTAAAGGTGTGTATGGCACCATCGCTGTCGGCATTTTGACAGCCCTTGCGAGCAGATTAAACAATGCAGCCCCTTCCTGCGAAAAGGCAAATGTGCTGATTTCGACGAGTTTTGACCACAAAATCGCCAATAAACCCATCTCTGTGCACTTGCGTTAGGGTGTATTACTCGGTGGTAAAGTAGACATTGATTCTATTCACTTGCAACTTACCTGGCATTCTTGTCCCTTTTTTCCTCGCATCGAGTATCATCAAGGCAATGGAATTGCACAGATACAACGTCACCTCTCCACCAACAGTGTCCATATCTTGAGACGACAACCCGGCAAGATACTTGACAACCTTTGGACATCGGCTCTCCAAGTTCATCTCCGTTTCGAATTCCCGCCTTCTTTCGCCCCAAGCCATTATAGACGCACTGGCTTTGCTTTTCATCTTCTCCGCTTGGATTCTTTGAGCCTCCTCTAGAGCATTTTGCCGACCGCTGCACTGCGCCGCTTTCTTGGAGTTGTGCTTATGAGAGGCTCTCTGAGATGAACCGCCGACCACCACACGTATCTTGTCCTTGCCTTCATTGGAGCTAGATCTGCATTCGGGGGTGGACACAATGGTTTCCGGATGGATGGCTTTGCCGGCAGAGTTTACCAGGCTAGCAGAGTAAGCAATCGTGCTTGCAATGAGCAATTGGTTTCTCCTCTTCGCAAAATAACCTTTCTGCCGTATTTTGTGCCTAGGGTCGATGGGGACACGCGCATTGTGCCAATGTGAGACTTCTTCAAAAACCTTTGTTGTGACCTGCGAATCATTCGATTCTGCGGTGGACATGTTTACAGGAGCAAGGAAATCGTCCAAAGCTGGGTGACTGAATGGTAGAAGCGAAGGAGACACATGTTGTCCGGCATCAATGGCAGTATCGCTCGCACTTTTTCTCCAGCGACATTGCGGAATCGATGCCGAGACATCAACAAGCGTAAGTTGGTAGACCAGGGCGGCGAACTTGTCGACCTCGGCGATGATGCATCCGGGGAGCGCCAGAGCTTGTAGACGTCCGAGAATTTGTCGCAAAATGCGACCGTCAATAAGATCAAAAACGTCCCATCTCCCTTCAAAAGACATAGTCTCCACGACAGAGGTGCAGATGTTGCTGAGTAACGCAAAGAATTTGTCAAGACATGACTGCTGAACCTTGCTGAGTGGCGCTTCCCTACACGCTCTCTGCGACAGATCAAGACGTCTCAGGAGAGACAGATGGATGATATAGGCGACAATGCAGTCTCTCATATCATTTCCGGATTCGACCAACAGCGTGTTACTGATGGCGGTGAGACAGACCATGTCCCTACCCGACAAGGGCTCGCCATCTTCCCAAGGCGAGCATATGGAGAGCCTCGTCCCGCGGCTGGCCTCCATTTCGGCAATCCCTTTGATTGGGATTCTAGGCGTCCGTGACATTTGGTCGACCCAAACAGGTCCGCCACTCAACGATGGGGCGCATATTGATGCGTGGACCTTTCCTCTGGTTAGTCAAACACGAAGCACTGCAAGACGGGACGGATCTCTGTCTAACCTTGGAGCTTACAAAATCGATATTGTTTATGAGAGCCACACTGTAGCCTTTGAGAGATAGGTATTGGATGACTTTGACATACTGGATGCTATTGGCGCCGGAGTTCCTCTCGATATCCTGGCCATCAAGACAGAGAAAGAAATGGATGGCATTATGTGTGAGATAGTCCTGAAAAGCGTCACCTTGCATACTCTCGAATTGAAAGCTGATGGGACTCTCCCCAGTTTCGGCAACTCCGATGGCATGCTCCAAGTGTTTGATGACAATGGCTCGAACAAGCCGGTATCCGGATGCAAGAGCATCAGAAACGTCGTTGGGGACACAGAGTTCCTCTTGATCAGCAAACCAAACTATATGAAATTTGCATCCACACCTCTGGAGATTGGCGAGAAAAGATTCCACTGCATATATCGCGTGCAGTAGTTGGAATCCATCTAAAAATTAGTTTAGCAGAAGTGTTCTTGGGGAACAGCAGAGACGACAGCATGCCAGATGCACGTACTGGTAAAGTCGACCCTAGCGTCGGTGATACAGTGAAATATTAAGGAATCCCCGTGAATGGCGAAAAGCTCCTTTCCAGAAAAATGATCGACAATATCTACCCTGAGTGGTGATAATGATTTGTACCAGAGTAGCAGCTCTGTTTCGCCCTCTTTGCACTGGCCGTCGGACATTGTATTTGTTTTGCGAGGCGATCAGTGAGGCATGAAATTCTTGTGAATAAGCACACAGGCCGCAAATCGCGACTAAAAATGAGACATAAAAGGATGCTTGCTCAGGGCATAGTGCATAGTGGTCAATTGCCATATATTTGAGAACACGGCCGAAGGACGAGCAAGGTTCAAAGGCAGTTGACCTAATCCTGTGTCAAGGGCTTTCAGCGTAAGAACTCGATTCAAAGATGATTCTGTAGGACATCAAAGGTCCTTGGGTTTGCAAAGGAAGGCAGCGACGAGTGACTACTATGTATACATGAAGGGAACAGTCATGCCCAAGGCTTCCAACGGGTCATGTGCTCAGGCTGTGTAACCTCGAGGTCCTTTGTCGGCGATGCCCCTCTGTTGGGCTTTGTTGTTGGGTCTCGACCGTGTAACAATTACGATGGCTTGGGCCAACATGAGACGAAACCGGAATTGTATTGTAGTCTTGGTTCGCAGTATGGCTATTCTCAATGCTGCGATTCCGGCAACTCAGCATTGGTTTTGGTTTGAGATATTATTGAGCACACACATTGCGCATCTGAGATGGGCAGCGGCCACCGAAACCGCCTCAAATGTATGAGTCGGAGTATGAGATTCAATATCCAGCTCCAATACATGGCGGATGACGTGACGGTGAGATATTGGTTGGCCGGCAGAGCGTCAGAGTTGGTGTTTCCTCCCGTAGTGGTTCATGGGCACCTTGAGTCCGTCGCACGAGCGTGTTGACCGTATGCATGCACTCACTCTCCTATGAGATTGCTAGTGGTGCCAGCAAAGTGCCTGTGCTCGCCCTGATAAGCCTTTGGGTTTAGCAAGTGATAAGAATTTGTGCAACCCTCCCATGGCTGTGCTTTGAGCAGTGGCAAAACTTATGCCAGCAGTACTACAGACTACATGCTCGGCATAGTTTATACATCAACTCGGCTAGTTTGTCTTATATGTCGCGAGATTAGAATTTAGCCTCGGCCCCATTCACTGGGCCTATTGGGAAGTCACTAGCAGTAATGACCTCAAGAAAGAGAAAAGCAAATAAAAGGAGAGCTCGAGAAGCCCGACGTGTCGTGAACCTCACCCGTCTATTGGTCCCAGCCGGTGCTGTAAGCCCGCCCTCTGGTCACTCGTGAAGCCAAACCCGTGCTCCTTGCGCAGCGTCGCTTTATCCAGTAATAACACGCGACGGCAATAGCAGAGGAACCGCTTCCAGTGGGCCAGGTACCGCTCCATACTTGTCTTTTCCTGGAGCGGCCCAAATAGCCGGCTGTGGACATGTCCTGGATTCAGGCAGCAAACAAGTCATTAGCAGCATACTGGCGAGGCCCGCAACGCAGCGTCCGAAAAAGATGTTATTTTCTATCAAAACTGCCCCTTCCGAGAAAATAAAAGGCTCAAGAGCACTATAGTAATCAACTATATACTCTCTTTTGTAAAAACCAGACGATTTTGTCCATGTGCAAACTCCTGGTTCTACTCCTTGTTCCAGTACTTGCTCCAGTCGTTGTGGTTCCAGTCGTTGTGGTTCCAGTTCTCGTTGTTCCAGTCGTTGTGGTTCCAGTCCTGGTCCTGCCAGTCCTGGTTACCCTCCTGGTTGCCCTCCTGGTCCCCGTCCTGGTTGCCCTCCTGGTTGCCCTCCTGGTTGCCCTCCTGGTCCCCGTCCTGGTTGCCCTCCGGGTCCCCCTCCTCGTTTTCACAGTCGTCTTCTGGTTCCTCAGGTTCCTTCGGAGGTTGCTCAGGCTCCTTCGGAGGTTGCTCAGGTTCCTTTGGAGGTTGCTCGGGTTCCTTTGGAGGTTCCTTGTCAGGTTGCTTTCCTGCCTGATACACGTCCGTAGGGCTCCCCTTAGTCTGCTTGAGGACGTTATTTTTGTAATCGTTGTTATAATTGCCAGGAGGATCATAGTTGCACACAACATAGACGCCAAGCCCGCTGCACGACTTCTGTCCACATCCCACGGTCTTTGTGCCCTTCCACACGACCTGCGTGAAGTGGCCGGTACCCGAGGAGAAGCCTCCGTTGTCAAAGTTATACTCCTTTCGCTCTTCTCCCCACATGTTGACAAAGCTGCCCCAGTCCTTAGCGCCAGAGTTGGCCGCGAGGTTCTCGCCGCCCTATAATCCATGGTTTTTTTAGTATACGTGGCTGGTTAGGCAGGCAGGGCGCTTAGGGATAGAAAACCAGCGGCGCCAACTTACACCATTACTGTGCTGGAATTTGCAACCATTGGCCCAGTTTTGAGCCTTGCTTGCGAGAGCATCGCTCCAGGTGAGGTCATCTACGCCGTGCTGGCTGCGGAAGAAGTTATGCGCGGCGAGCATCTCGCCCTTAAAGTCGCCGCTTGGGTCCCTTTTCGCGGGTGCTGCCATGGCCATGCCAGTGGCCGTAAGGGTGGGAAGGATGCTGGAGAGACGCATTTTATGATAAATCGTGCCGAGAATAGGCGACAAGGTAAAAAGAATGTAAGCTGTTGGAAAGAAAGTAAATAGAAGGAGAGGCTTGAACAAGTAAGATTGTTGAGATGGATCAGACCAAGGTAGGTGGTGGTTTATACATATATAGTATTTTCCTATCCTTTTCTCCCATGTATATACTAGGGGCTTTGGGGACAAGCATACGTAATTCTGACATGGAATTACTCAGCTAGGCCGCAGCTCCTTTATCCTGTCCTATCTAACCTGGAAATTAAGGATAGTTTCTCTACACTGCATATCCCAGCTCCATGTCTTAGTACATGGGATTCGCAAATCATAGTCGATCCGCGTTCGTGTTCAAGATTCATGCGACCGGAATACTACCTTGCAGTTTTCCATGTAGTGATCAGCCATGCAATCCAACCTCGACCTTGCTTGGTGTGTGTATGTATGGGCCGTTTCTTCCATTCAATCTAACAAACAAATTGCGCAGGATTGTCAGCCATCAAGTCCCCAAATTAAAGGGCATGGTGGAGCAGCATTGTGAATCAGATTTTGTCTGAAAATAACCCTGCAGTTTCAACGGTTCCAAACAAACATTGTTTCCACCACGGAGACTGCCAGAATCAGCAAATAGCTGCGTTATTTTTTCTGGGGAGCGCATGAATAACTCCACCCATTGACCCAAGTTTTCATCCCAACTTGCTGGCTGTACCCCGGAAGCCATGCACGCCATGTACGCCAAGGTTTGACGTGATTGGCCACCCGGAATGGCTCAATCATCAGACGATTCTGCCTCCTGAAATTCTTGCTACCAGATCAAACCACGTTTAATATTACCACATCCATTAGGATTACGGGCTCTCTGGACATAGAACGATTCAAGAAACCGTTCAGATGTCTCAGCCTGCGTCATGAGGCTCTCAGAACTGCCTTTTTTACTAATGACAATCAGTGTCCGATGCAAGCGGTGCTCCAGCCGCCAAAACTTGAGTCACAGTACATCAAAGGTGAGCAAGACGCTGTGCGCGAGTACGCAAGAATTAGGAATCATGAGTATGATATTGTCCGCGGTGAAACAATGATGATTGCATTGTTGCCATTGCTGGAAAATGTTGACCAACTGATTATCGGATATGGACGGAAGCAGCTTGGAGGTCATCATCAAGGACTTGCCGCAACTGTACGACAACAAGAGTCTACCAGTTGTTCCTATGCAACACCCCGATTTCTCGATTATGCAGCACAAGGAATTCTATAACGGCCAATGGTAAAATGAGATGTCGCACTGGAAATCAGAGTTCGCCACCATCCCGAAGCCACTGCCCATTCTGCCACCTGCAAAGAAAATTATCCGCGCACCACTGGGAATATACCGTAGCATCACTGTCAAGATTGAACTCGACTCGTCATTAGCCTCTCAAATTGGGAGTACTTGCAGAAGGACCAAAGTTGGCCCTTTCAACTTCTACCTTGCAACGTTCAGGGTGCTTCTTTATCGACTTACTGGTGGCAAGGTCGCGGACATATGCATTGGTATAGCGGACAGCGGGCGAAATAACCATCTGGTGACCAACAGTGTCGGCGTCTTCCTAAATCTTTTACCTCTTCTCTGCCAGCAGCAACCTTCTGAGGTATTCAGGGATGCGCTAAATGAGACTCGGTCAAAAGTGATCACTGCACTGGCGAATAGCAAGGTGCCATTTGACGTGCTTCTCAACGAGGTAAACCCGCGAAGAACATCTACTTCGAGCCCTTTGTTCCAAGCGTTTATTAACTACAGAGAAGGAGTCCAGGGGAGAAGACAGTTCTGTGGATGCGATAGTGAAGCCATTTAGTTCGACGCTAGTCAGACTGCCTATGACCTGAGCCTCGATATTCTCGGTAATGCAAAAAATGTCGTTATTTACCTTACCGGTCGGAGCAGTCTCGATAGTGAGTCAGAGGCTGAAATGATGGTACAAAGTCATGTTGTCCTCCTCAAAGCATTCAATGTTTGCAAAGAATCCAGCGTTGCGGATCAACAGACCTTCACTCTACGATTCGCAAGCGACACGCGACGCATTAGTCTTCGGGAAAGGGCGAATCCAAGTAAGATCGTTGCCAGATACATTGATTCACAGGATTGCAGACATGGTCCAGGTCCATGGCGCAAAAACTGCATTGAAGACTCGACAATCAAGGTTCACATATAGCTAGAGGGCAGAAGGCACTAATGCCATCGGGGCAACTCTATTGTCAAACGGCCTTGAAAAATCGCGCATTGGAGTTCTGTAGCACACCACGGTAGACTTTTACTGCACCAGCATTATTGGCAATACTCCTCATAGGAGTTATCTATGTTCCCCTTGAACCCAGCTTGCCGTCTGCGAGGCCCTCTGACTTGGTAGAAGACAGCCGACTGGATGCCGTCGTGTATATGACAAGGGTTCAATACAGAAGGCTTGGAGCTAAAGGGCTCAATTTAATAATAATCTTAAAGGGTCTCTAAGGTCTTAAGTTACTATAAGATAAAAAGAGAAGGGTAACTACCTTATATATATAAAAAGAATACCCAGGCCTAGGGCTCTTACCTGGGCACGTGCTTACGCTGTGTAATAAATAAGTCCCGTATTAGTGAAGCCCCTTTATTCGACGTCACGATCTGTTGGGCCTTTTCCGTGTAACAGTGTATAACAAGCCTAACCAAACGACAATGACTTGTTTGGAGTATGGTTTCAAACGAATCAATGCAACGGCACCGCAATTATCCTGTACACTAGCGGCTCGACCGGTAAGCCAAAGGGCATTTTATTGAGTCATGAATCATGGCGCAACCAAAGCGAGTCATCTTCCTCGCCGTGGAAGATTCCTGTGGGTGCTGGGTTACATTTTAAACATGTCACAAACATTTGCGGCTTTAGCAGATGGCGACTCGCTTTTTATTCTTCCGATGAAACTCCGAGGGGGTTCCATTGGCATTTCCAGGTTAATTGTTTCAGAAAAAGTCAGTCATGTGCAGGCTACGCCATCGGAACTGTCTAGCTGGCTTCGCCACGGTGATCTTGACGCATTGCGCAAACCCAAGTGGCGGTTTGCCATGACCGGAGGAGAGCGAATAACGAATGCTGTAAGAGATTGATGGGTTTAGAAAGCTCTCTAAGAATGATCTGAAGCTGGTTAATGCCTACGAACCAGCCGAGGCTACGCTAGCAGTTGGAAATCCTGAAGTCAGGTATATGACAGACGATGAGCTTGATACACCATTTGACCTATTCCCTAACTACTCCATTTATATCATGGATAGCCAGCACCATCCAGTCCCTGCAGGAATTCCTGGAGAAATTTATATCGGTGGAGCGGGTGTTGCTCTAGGGTATCTAAACCATGATACGCTGACTAAAGAGAGATTCTTGCCACACGACTTCGCGCCACGAGAGTACACTCTGTATAATTGGACTACAATGCATAAAAGTGGCCACCATGGCTATTTTGTATTGGATGGGCACTTATTTTTAGATGGAAGAATCGACGACGACGCACAGATCAAGCTACCCGGAATCCGCATTGATCGTCGAGCCATCGAATCAACCATAGTACAACAACCAACGGAGCAATTCAGGACGCTATTATTTCTGTTCATGGCTCTAATGGTACTGAGTATCTTATATCCTACGTGGTTTCGTCTGCAATATTCAACGGGGAGCCCCTTTTTTTCCTTGAGTGTCTGAGAACTTCCTTACCAATCCCACAGGATATGCAGCCGGCAGTTGTGACCATGTTGGATCAATCACCAACTAACTACTCGGGAAAAGTCGATGGAAAGGCTATTTCAGAACTTCAATCTCATCCGAGAGAAGCATTTAGCAGGATAATGCCACAACGGCTTAGTGGCGAAGTCAAGAGAAATATGGTGACAAGTACTGGGTGACACGCCATCTTCCCTCCACATTATCGATTCAGATACAGATTTCTTTCATGTCGGCGGAAGCTCCATGTCCCTGGTCGAGCTGCAGGCGGAGATTAACAAGGAATTCAATACTGACATGCCTCTGATGCAATTGTTTGAAAACTCCACACTGGGTGCAATGGCTCGCCAGATTGATCCAGCAACAGGCTCGCTTCCAGCCAGCACGGGCCTTAGCTTTACACTTCCTGCTCCTTCAAATAATCACGAGGAGCCTTGAACAGTACCCAAGTTGGACTGTATGTCAAGTCAAATCAACTGAGACCTGGAAACCAGCTTGACGGATGATCTCTACGACATCGACATGGACCCGCAGTCAAAGGATCAAGGCCTGCAAATACAAGAAGATAGTTGTCATGGGTGCAACAGGCTTCCTGTGAAAGGCTGATGCGCAGAATACTGAGCGACAAAGATACTCCGCATAGACAAGATTCATGCAATCGCTCTCCGACGACGTCGATCCAACTTGCCGGCAATTTTCTCCCACCCGAAAGTACAACTGCATATGGGCGACCTCGACGCACTGCGACTCAGCCTGTCCAAACAAGCGGCCCAGGAGATAGTCAAGCTGTGTCTTCCCCAACGAATCCCGATGCACCTTATCCCGTCGGCAAGTGTGGCGTACCTCTCCGGGCAGGCTTCGTTTGGTGAAGAGTCGGTTGCCGACTTCAAGCCACCGTGCGATGAAATCTGATGGATATACGGCGACTAAATGGGCGAGTGAGCAGCCCTTGGAGCTTATAAGCGAGAAGTTCTTGATTCCCATCTGGATCTATCGGCCTAGTAGCATCGTAGAAGATGATGCTCCAGCCCCTGACTTGATGACAAACCTATCAAGTTTCTCAAGGCAACTTCATCTCCCGCTCGGCGGGGCACGTTTAGACTTTATTGACGTGGAGCGAGTGGCAGCAGAGATTCTGGATGAGGTGAAACATGACAGCGCCCTATCCCGGCGGACTAGTCAAATACATGTCAAGTCTGGTACGAAAGTGGAGACCTTGAAATCGGCGTAGTGTTTAGATGGCTGGACAGACGCAATGAACTCTTTCGTGACTTGAAGCTCTGCTAAGAGTCAAATATACTAACCCATTCATACTTGTACCGTAGTATTTAGTTCGTTTCTAGATTTACTATCTTTAGATCCAGCAAGAGGGGATTTTGGCTGCGGGGCGGCAGTGCCGAACCGTGCAAGCTCCGAGCGGGAGTGTGGGGGCCTGTCGGGGTGGCATCTGGTGGGGCATCGGAATTCCGAACGCTCTGATTCGCCCATCGGGGCTACATATGCTTTGCCTATACGGGGTAACAGAGCCGTTACTTGAGGCACTCAATCAAAAAAGGAGCCTTATTCGAGCGAACATCCAGACTCTAGTTTTTGTCTCTTTCTCGCATTCATCGTCCTTCACGACGCAGCCAAATATCAGAGCCAGAGGAACAAAAAAACTCGGAGGAGGAACGTCAGAGGGGAGAGCCTCTGGCGGACTCGAGGCTATTACCCTATCCGGAGCCGCAGTTACAGCCCAAGAAACGATACACGCTCCATTTTTGGTAGGCTTTTGGGGGGCTTTGTTTCACTGGCCTTATATCCACCCTTGACGGTTCTATTCTGTCAACATCCTTGCCGAGCATTATTGCTGATCTTCAAGGCGGAGATAGCTTTATCTAAGTCGTCAATATCTACTTCCTCACGAGGCATGTGGTTCTGGGAGTAATGAAATATATTCTGGTATGTACCGAGCAACGACAAGAAGTGAGGGCTAACCGACAGATCCCAATAGTGCTACATTCCAACCACCTGTCACACGAAAATGGCCCAATGTCAAAGGTTACACAAGGGCTACGGTCACGGGATTAGGGAAGAAGGCCCACACCGACTTCTTGTATTTAAAGACGTCTTTGGCGACCGAGGCCTTTAGGAAAACTAAGGACCTTTGATACCAAAGACTGTTATTAGTTGAATTGAGCTATTGCTCCGAGCCCTCTTTCCGAGCCCTTGTCACACAGCCCCAAAAACCTTAAATTTGACCCGCCCGGCTCACCGCTTTGCTTACACTTGTGACAAGGGCTTACGTTGTCATACGACCTACGTGATAACAAAATGTCTTGTCGATTGTGGCAGCAAAACTCAAGGCCCTCCAACGTGCCTAATGCCGCTTCCATTAGATCGTCCATAAATAGTTGCCGCTTATTAACAGGACGATCAAACAGAAGCACACGCCCAAGCCAACAATGCCTTTCTTGAAACTCCTGAAACATGCCTGGTAGTAAGTTTAGGCGTAAAAGGAGGTTCTTAATAGACCTTTAATACCCCATACTGTATAATATCGCAAACCTTATAGTTTAGTGTCAATTAATAAATGAATGCCGCCAAGCCGGCCGCAGGCACCTCCCGGGAGGGTCCTCGAAAGGCCCCCAGACAGTGTAATTGAAAGCTGGTTGGTCTATTGAGTCATTCGCCCTGCCCTGAGAGCATAGCGTGGTTGATTTGTCGCTATACATGACTACACGACGTGTCAACTATTGCCCATGAGCATAATGCCTAGCTGACTAGGGCGTGGCGCCCTCTTTGTACCGGGGATCGTTGGCAAGGAAGCTATCACGCCATTGACGACAGGAGTCATGTCGCCAGAACTGCCGGCTAACAGTAATGCTACAAGTCAGTACCAAGAATATTGAGATTGGGATAACATGCTGGGCGTATTAACTGAGGCCCTAGTCCTTGGATGCATTGATGGAATTGTGCTCTATTAAGCGGCCGCGCAATAGATAGTCGAATCATGAAGAGCAAGGGGAGGTTTCGTGATCAGCCTGTTTTATTTCACGAGAACAGAGTGTTGAGAACAGAGTGTTCCAACGCGGACAGAGCTTTCCGACATGTATAGAGTCTTTCTACGTCGAGAGGGTCTGAACTATTCAAACTATAAGTAGTGTCGTAGTAACGCCATCAAGACTGTTTTTCTTTTTTTCACTATCACCAATATCCTCATCGTCCTTCTGTATTCATTATCACTTTAACACAGTCATTTTTAAAACATCCCGGCCTATAGTCAACAACTATGAGGACCTACCAGCTACTTTCTCTTTCGGCCGTGCTCTCGTCTGCTGCCTCGTGGGGCATCAAACGAGCGCCGCTGGAGCCAAACCTTGACCTCTCCGTTGATATAACGAATGCTATAGATATTGACCCTGATATTATCGGCAAGACTGTTTTCGAGATTATTCCCGATGAGAAGGCTAGCTTCGAAGACAATTCCATCTCACGTCGAGACGTCTTCAGCCGCCAGGCGCCAGGAAATCCCGCTCTCAGGTCAGCGGAAGAAGTCTCCAAGATCAAAGCACCCGGGACGAGCAAGTCGGGAGTATTCTATCGCGGTGATTCTCGGCCTCCCGAAGAGATATTCAAGTCGGGCTTCAAGCCCCAAGGCGACAATACGAAGTTGCAGGATCACCTCGAATTCAAGCCTAACTCTGGTCTTGTATCTGTCTCGCGATCGCGTGAGGCGACGTACAGGTACATGTTTGGTAGAGATGATAGCCCCAAGGGATACGTCTATGTCATTGCAGCCAAGGATATGCCTGATGGCTACTGGGTCCCGGGGATTTATCCCCCGGAAAAGAACCCCGAGGTGAGCCGTAACCAGGAGTTTGCCGTCAAAGGTACCATTCCAGGTACAAGCATCTCCCACGCCTACGAGGTGACCGAGGCCAACCCCACCGACAAGGCCCGCAAGATTAAAAATGACGCGTACTCGCTGAGGTCGGCTTCGAAATGCACCATACTCAAGAGGCGAGCAGGCGGTAGCTGTGACCCGGCTGGATGGGTCGACATTGAGCAAAATGAGCCCAAGAAGCCTGCTTCTGGAGACGGCGGCAAGGGCAAGAAGCCCGTGGGACAAAAGATCTCGGAGAGCAAGTTCCTGCAATTCCTCACCGAGCTAGAACCTGAATCCATTGGTGGCCTCATCAAGGCGCTCAAGGATGGCGAGGTCACTATTGCCGACGTGCAGCTAGGCTTCAAGCGGGCACTTTCAGAGGCCATGGATCACCGTTGGGCCGACTTTGGGGATTGGGACAAGGCAGCAGAATCGCTAAAGAATATTGTCTTTGATATCGCCTCGACGGTCCGATATGCGACGCCGGTTGGGTACTGGTCCGACGTTATCAAGAGGCTCCCTGATATCGCAAAGGAAATCGGCAAGGGCAAGACACCTGAAGAGAAGCTAGAGATTGCCAATAAGAACATTAATGGTGCCGTTAATGTATGGTCATATACACCAGTTGGCTTCGTTAATGAGGCCTTGATGAAGGAGGCGGCTATGGGGACGCCTCCTGTGCAGGCTGTTGCGGTTTCTATCAATAAGCTGTGGTCATATACCCCTTGGGGATGGCTTATTAACCAGATCGCGCCTGTTGAGTCCTTGCTCAGGAAGATCAATGCTCGTGAGGAGGTGTTGAGCCTGGGATACTAAAACAGAGCCAACCATGCGCAGCGATGGCTGATGACAATAGAGCAGCGGTCAGAAACTATGTATAACTTAAAGTATTCAAGTACCATGAAGTATTCTGGTCACAGCATTCCACAGGTCAATTTACATGACATTATTCCATTTTTTTTCTGCGAGTCATCGTCTGGTGATGTTGATGCCACTCAACACCTGACCCCTTGTAGAAAAGCTTTCCAGAATTGCAGTGGTTCGTTTGACCACTTGTTCTACTTATTAGAGACTACAACAGAGTGTAGTTAAATTACAGGACTTGTTTTCAAATAGCATGACTTATGTGGGCTGCGTAGTGTGTCATCGGCTCCCACAAGCAAGGGCGTACCGCTTCTCTGGAGTAAAATAGCCGGAACAAGACGAATCTGCATGAGTCGCACCTATGACCACAGCGCCGAAGCCATGCATCTTGCACAACAGCAGAGCTAGGCACTGGTTGATCACGCTTGACCATTGTTGCCATCTCGTGTCCCCGAAGTTGAGTGGCGGCAGAACGAGACGAGACATGGAGTTTCTTACTCGTGTTAGGACACGTTTGGATCTTCCCAGGCGTTGAGTCACCTTTTTTCCATTATCCTTGGCAGAGGCTGAGACTTCGGTCCGCGGTGCCATGCTTGCACCAGTATTCGTTATTTTGCAGAGCAACCTTGATTTTGCCGCTTGGACAATTTCCATTAACCAGACCTCTCTTCAAGCCTGCATACGGAGTCAGGCCTAAGTTGTCGCACCATGCCCAGCTCTTCCAGTGCGAATGACTCAAGTCAGACACATCGCAGCAGTAATCTCTGATACCACGGCGGCCACCACTATCTCTGCAGAGCCGAGCATCACTGCTGTCCCGGCTCGAAGTGAGAGGCGTGTTAAACGTGTTGCTCCAGGCGTACCGGCAGTTTTGTCCCCATATTAATGGCGCATTTGTGCTCCTTGCCATCAATTGATCTATGTAGTTGACCTCTGACACTGAACATGTCATGTCAAGGGGTCAAGTGTCAATCTACCGCCGGCGTTCAATGTTTGTACCTGAGTAGCGTCAGTGGGGCTTTTCAGGGGCCTGTAGCGGTGCGGGCCCTGCCGTAACAAGAGTGCCGGGGGGCACTGGGGTACTGAATAAGTGCCAAAAAGTGCCGGGCGGGGCTAAAAAGTGCCAAAAAGTGCCGCGAGGTTGGCAATGCGTCTTGACGAAGCCGCCAAGTTCTGCAGGTCCTCTTGGGGATGCCATGTTTGTGTGGGGAAGTGATGGGGTGCTAAAAGTAGCCGGAAATTTAAGGCTAGCCGTTGGCAACTAAGTGGAAAGTCCACTTAGTCATAAAAGTATAGGACAGCTATAAAAGTTTAAAATACTTAAAAAATTATAAAAAATCTAATAATACTAATATTAAGTTAATTTCAAAGTATTTTACTTTATAACTTAATAAATTTATATTAATAGTTTTACTTTTATTTTTAAAAGAAATAAATATTATAATTATTATTTTAAAAATATACTGTTTTATATATATAAATATTAAAATTATATAAAAAAACTTGACAGAACTTTAAGCTTTACTAGCAGCTATAATTCGATATATTAGAAACTTGATATATTTGTATTATAATACTACGTATTGACTTTGCGCGACAGACCTGTGCGAGGCGGACCGAGACTTTGTTACCCAGGCTCCATCCACGTTGCTGGACTACTCCGTAGAGTCTGGTTGTTTGTAGGAGAATAGTCACGCCCTTCTATGAAGCAGTCTTTGCACCTATCGGGGAGCCCGGGCGATGCCATTTATATCCGCCAGTCATTGGCCCCAAATGGGCAAAAACTGTCCCATGACCTCGGCGTTAATACGCAGGATAGATTTACACTGTCAAACGTTACAGTCGATATCAGCAAGTTTGCTTGGCCCTTCTCCTATTGGCTAGTTCGGGAACCAAGGTGGCTTCAAAAAAAGGCGGGCAAACTCCAATCATTACTATCTGCCGAAGCCTGCTATAGCAAAACTATGAGTAGTAGTTTTTGGCGTACCAAATATTCTTTATTTTCGGCTTACGAAACTGACGTTTTTTAATGCAGGCAGTAAACGGCGCCCAATATATTTCTCATCCGCCTTGTTTATCGTCACAAAATTTTGACATTTATTCTCGTAACCAATCACGTCTCAGGACGCCTCTCGCACTAGGACAGAAGTCCCCATCACGTGCGGTGGCACTGCAACCTACAATTCGGCGCCCCGGACTTTTCTTCGACACCCAACACAGACGAGCACTTGAGACATCGGAAGGAAGCATGAAGAAGCCAGAATGGCCAAATGACCACTGAATTTTTCGCCTGGATATCACAGGCAGCAGCCCTGAAGAGGGCAGGGCTTCGTTAGTGATAACTCGAACAACCCCATATTCGGAGAGCGCGATGCCTCCTCTTGACGTGCCCATTTCAGCTACGGCGTGTAGACGGTGTCGACATCACAAGGTAATGCAATAATTCGCGTCTTCTCGAGTACATGCCTCTGAAACTCTTTTCTCAGCTCAAATGCAGCCGCGAGCGCCCCGTATGCCTTCGCTGCAACAGACTACAGACAACATGCACGTACCCAGAGCTGGTAGACCGGCGCCGGGCAGGACGGACGCCTCGCTCACGCCGCCGATCGTCGAACCCAGCGCCCAGGGACGCTACTGTCGAAAGTACTGGCGACACGGATGCACAAATTGCAACTAGTGCGCCCTTGACAGGCTCCAACTTGGTTGACGACTCATTACTTTCCAGCCGACTGGCCCCAGACGCTGGACAAACCCCGTCCGACACAATTGTAGACATGCCATCAGACGTATGTATACGGGTCTACTGAACATGCTGAACACTCACTCAAACCTTTATATAGTCTTATGCTCGTCACTTGCGAAGTTGTGATTACGAATCACAAAGTATGAGAGCAAGCCATGGCCACGGGTTTAATCCCGATCCTTGCCAGCTACCACCACGTACTGTGGGCCTTTGTTTGCTTGAAATCTACTTTGCTCGCATTTACAACGCCAACTTGCTCTTTTATAAACCCCTTCTTTTCCAAGAATATCTAGAGGACCAAGTTCCAGTTGTACTCCTCCAAGCCATCTTTGCCTTGGCTTCTTTGTAGGGCACCTCGTCGCTTGCAAGGCCAGCAGGAGCTAATCATAGCGCCAGATTCCTTGCACCTAGAGACGAAGCAGAGGACGTGTCAGCTGATTTCTCAGAGCTTCGGGCCTTCGCCACCTACCACTCTCGCAGCTTGCTTTGGGCAAAAGCCGCCACAAAAGAAGCAATGGCCGCCGTCATGGAAGCGCCGTCCCTACCGGCTGCCCAGGCTCTAGTCTGTCTGACCTTGTACTGGTTTGGTACTGGGGATTCCAAAAGTGCCGATTTATGTCTTGGTACGTGCGTATGGTCTCTCCTTGTTGATCTTTTCTGACGGGGCGTCGGGTAGTTTTGGCATACAGGTTCTGCACTGTTTGGAACTATAGAAGGCAGATTTCTGAAGGAGCTCAAAGCTTGGATACTTCACTCGAATCTGAACTGAAGCGTCGGTGCTTTTGGGCCTGCTGGGCATCCATGTGCATCGTGGCTGAACCTGAGCCCATCTTCAAGGATGCTTGGTCTGAGGCAGCGTTGTTGCCGCTGCCGTCGGTGATATCCAACGGGCCGTCTGGCTGGCAAGTAACCATTGGGAAATACATGGACTCTGAATGGTCTTTAATGTCAAAATTCAATCAGCTAGAGCCCGGGAAAGAAGCTCCACCATCAGCTGGATTGATCAAAATGATTGGAATTTGGTAGGAGCAACGCTTTGGGCCTTTTCTTCAAGTGGCTAGCTAACATTGTCACAGGGCGAGAGTTCAACTTTTCGTTACCAAATCCATGCATTACTCATCTACTGAGAAAATAAATGCCCTCTCGAGTCTAGCGGCGCAAGCTACCTCTATGCGTCACAGCATTGTGCCTGGGCCGTATAGTAATTCGACGAGACGTGGGAAATTGGATAGCCGCCAACAGTTCATGGTTATCGATGCCTTCTATTGTCTTTGTCACGTAGCTCTACACTCTACAATTGTGCCATTATTTTCCGGATCGCCACTCGATCAACAAATAAGTGCCGAGGATGTGAGGCATAGTGCTCAGGCTGTGCTATACCATGCAGAGTCGTTTACTTCGTCGCTGGCTGACTGCTTTGGTGGAGAATTAGATGTTACATATCTGCCTCCGGTCGTGGGCTACGGTGCTTTTCTAACAGGCTCAGTGCTTCTGGCCTTTGAGATTTCATACCAAGACAAAGATGTGCGTCTCCAAAAGCACAGCGGAATGTCTGCCGTTCAGTCAATTATTACAATGCTAGACACCCTATGCACCTATTGGAAATGTCTCAGACGCCCGGTAAGTCGTTCTTTGCTCGTTGTTGTGCGGAAGGATTTCTAAATCAGATCCCGTAGTGTGAAAAGCTCCGAAAGGCGGCCAATGCAGCAATGTGTCATGACCCGCGAGCAATACCTGCTGGACCACAAACAAGTTTCCACACACAATGTGGCCCTCGCTCAACGGTACACGATAGGAGATATTCTGGAAACCCGTCCAGTCCGCGCCCGCCTTTGCATGGCGCGCCAGACGAGAGGCTGGCTCGGCAGAACCCATTGGCATTAGTGCACAATGACGTGATGCAAACACATATACCTGACACTCAACGTTCTGATCAGGATCCGCAATGTGCTGTTGGTAGCAGCACACCAAACACGTTAGGAAGTGATGGCACTGCGTATATCACGTCAATAGACGATGAGTGGTGGAACATGCCCTTTACCTCATATGGTGACTTTCTTGGTCTTGATCCAGTCAACCTCTTTCGTCAAGGCGATGACCCTTTCGGTTAGGGTATTATGAAGCTCGGATGGGCTGACGGCGATTATTCTTTGAAACATATTGACCCTGGACGTTTGTACACTACCGGGCTCGTTTTTTAAGCTGTGGC